GAGAGGCTTGTGTGTTGCCGACAGCCCTCGTCGATGGTCTGATGAAGACGGCGGCGATGCGGTGATGCGCTCCAGCTGGGCGAACGGGATGCGGGAGGGGTACCCCCCCGGACCCAGCAGCTCGACGGCGGCGAAGGGACGACACTTGCCGGCGGACGGTGGCTCGCCGCTCACCGAGGCGGAGGCGGAGCTGCTAGCGGAGCTCTCCTCGCCACCGCGCGACATGCAGACCACCCTGCAACCGTCTCAGAAGTACACGCGTGCCCACCCGCGGCTCGCCTTTCCGCTGCTTCTGCTGCTCGTGCTGGAGGCCCTCCGCAACCTCCTCCCGGACGAGCACAGCCAGGAGGCGTTTTCCGGTTCGTTGCTTGACCTCGTCCCCCCCGACTCCTCGCTCGCCCTCTTCCCCTCAGAGGCCCCCCCGGCCGCACAACAAAAGCCCCCCCCCCCCCACCCCCCCCCCCACACCCACCCACCCCACCCCACCCAAAAAACCCCGCCCCACTCCCCCACCAAGCATCGACGCCAGGCTAGCCGAGATGAGCCGAGACTGAGCCGAGATTGAGCCGAGATTGAGCCGAGATTGTAGGCGTCACGGACGACCACAACCTGCTGCTGCTCGACGCAACCACGCTCGAGCTCCGCCGCACCATCGTCGGCTACAATGACGAGATCACCGACATGCGCTACGTCGTGCGCCAGGGCGGCGGCAGCGGCGGCCGCGGCGGCGGCGAGATGCAGCTTGCCGTGGGCACCAATTCGGAGCAGGTGCGGCTGTTTGACTTGGCCGACATGGGCTGTCGGCTGCTCCTTGGCCACGCCGACATCGTCCTCGCCCTCGACGCGTCGGCCGGCGGTCCTAGATGCGGAATGAAGATCTCCCCAGATCTCCCCAGATCTGCCCAGATCTGCCCAGATCTGCCCAGATCTGCCCAGATCTCCCCAGACACACCGTCTTCCCCCCCTCTTTGGCCCACCCTCTCCGCTTCCACCCTCCCCTCCTCTACCCTCGCCACCACCGCCGTCGCCACCTCCACCTTCGCCGCCACCTCGCCACCTCCGCCTTCGCCCCCCTCCTGACCTTGGGTCGTGTTCATGACTCAGGCTGGCGGCGGCCTCATCGCGTCGGCTTCTAAGGACGCGACGGTGAGGCCACACCCCGGCCACCTCTCGGCCACCTCTCGGCCACCTCTCGGCCACCTCTCGGCCACCTCTCGGCCACCTCTCGGCCACCTCTCGGCCACCTCTCGGCCACCTCTCGGCCACCTCTCGGCCACCTCTCGGCCACCTCTCGGCCACCTCTCGGCCACCTCTCGGCCACCTCTCGGCCACCTCTCGGCCACCTCTCGGCCACCTCTCGGCCACCTCTCGGCCACCTCTCGGTGAGTGAGCTGCCCCACGGGACTAAACCCACACTGGATTCGGTACTCTGGGGGTATGGTACTAGGTGAGGCTGTGGGACCCCGCCACCGCGGAGTGCGTTGGCCGCTGCGTCGGCCACATGGATGCCGTCGGCGCGGTCGGGTTCGGCGGTAAGACGGGCGGCCGCCTCGCCGCGGGCGCGCTCCCCCCCACCCCACCT